TTCTGCAGGAATCCAGCGGTGACGGTGTGCGGGAGGCCAGAGGCCATGAGCCTGGCCAACAACGCATCACACAGTGAACATCTGTAAGGAAACCACCTGGTACAGCAGCTCCCAATGCCTCTGAGACGAAAGGAGGTGATGGAGGGGCAGAGATGGAGGATCAAAGAGCTTTGGGTTTTGTTTTGCTTGCTTGCTTTTCATTGATTTGTTTTTATTTGAAGTTGATAATCTTATTTGTAGTTTTTTTATGTATTTATTATTTTATTATGTTAAAAATTATTTCATCTTTTAAAAATCTATCTTATTCATCATTATTATTATTATTGGTTTTCCTTTGCAGGAGCAGTACAATAGTGAGGGGCAGATGTAGAGGAGCTGAGAAATGGGTAGAACTGGGACAGGAATATGTAATTCCTGAATTGATTAAAAATTATGTTTAAAATTTTTTAAATAAAAATGTAAAAAATGAAGGATCACATGGGCACTATATTGTAAACAAATGTGCATCACAACATGGGTACCATTATGAGCTAACAACTGTGAATCCAGGAACACAACCTTCCCCTCACCTCCTGACACAAGAACAGAGGCCCAGCGTAGCAGTCAGCTTTCTGGGAGTCAGCTGGTGTGATCTGCTTCCCTGGGAGGATTTGTTCAGCCCATTGACAGAATCAATACCCTAATGCTGTTTTCTTTTTCAGAGACCCCTGACCAGTCCCATTTATGCTGGCTAGCCTATCCACAGGGAAAAGTGAGGTGATGTCATCACATGATGTCATCAGGCACACTACCTTTCCTTTTCAGTTCTTAGATGTCACACATACTTGGGAAGGCAGGAAAACCCTTGTCATAGGATGACTGGGATGAAAGCAAACTGAAGATGTTATCTTGCTTGCTTATAGGTGTAAGCCCTGGCTTGGTGGAGTGTCAGTCAAGGAATGTTTTACCCGACACCTGTTTGCACACATGATGTGGGATTCCCCTCTGTATGCTGTGAATACCACTGGTTAATAAAGAAACTGTATTGGGCCTGCACAGAGCAGAATAGAGGTAGGCAGGGAAAACTAAAGTGAATGCTGGGAGAAAGGTGGCGGATTCCAAGAGAAGCCATGTAGCCCAGTCGGAGACAGACGCCAGAACTTTACTCAGTAAGCCACAGCCACGTGGCAATACACAGATTAATGAAGATGGGTTAAATTAAGATATGAGTTAGCCAGAAATACGGTTAAGCTATTGGCCAAACAGTATTGCAAATAATATGGTTTCTGTGTAATTATTTCAAGTCTGAGTGGCCTTCTACAACAAACTGGCCCACCAGCCTGGTCAACTATATCCACATAAAAACCTGAGAAAGCTTAAAAAGGAATTCTAGACACAAAAGAACAGAGTTAAGCATGGCTTTTGGTAGCCACAATTTTTTTCTAGATGGGCTTGTGGTGAGCAAGGGCAGGCTGCTTTAAGAGAGGTGCAATTAAAACTGCATGGCTTTTTTATAAACAGCTCCTGGTTCGCCAGCACAAATGGCTCTGACCCTTTTGAGAGGTCTGGCTACAGGGCATTTAAATGGGGTTTGCAAGCAGACTTGGTTAATGGCAACATAGACCCAAGGTGTGCTTGAAAATGGGACTGTGAACATGGCTTGCACTAAAAAGACCTCCACCCCACCAAGTTGGACTGGGTGGAGCCAAATGACAAAGCAGCCTTAGTACTAATCAAGCCGCAGCTTAGCATTTTAAGAAGCTCTTCTAGTCAGAAAATAATCACAGACACACAATAAAGACAGATTCGGATTTTAAAAAAAAAGACCTCTAAATGGGCCACAGTGTTAGATAAATCTACATGGGCTTGGGAGAGAAAAGAAAAAGAATATAAACAGTTATAAAAAGAAGTAAGTGTTTTTTTTAAAGGTATCTTTAAAGAGACAGAGTACAGACAGTTAGATTAAAGGAGTAAAGATAATGAAATAAATATTAAAAAATTAGAGTAAAAGCAAGTAAGTCATGTAAAGATGGAATATACACTAACAGTCTGGATTATGTATATTATTGTGTTTTCTTTAAATTTTTTGACTGTGAAGGAGCTAAGTATAGAGAGATATTTCATTGTATGGACTGCTATGTTAAACCAACATAAAGGTATCTTGTCTTCAAAATTTGGGTCTAAGGATATGTTGCTTTGGAAAAGAGGCTCTTCTTTTGTTTTCACAGATGAGAACCTGTGGATTTATTCCACACTAATGTGGTTTGATGGACCAAGCGTCGCTGTGAACACCCTCAAAAATTACTTCACCCAATAAAAAGCAGGAAGCAGTTTGGAGAAAACTATGCCCAAATTCCCTAAGTGATTGTTTATAAATGTTTGCTTACATTTAAAGGGGGATATGCTATAGAGACTTGCATTGGTATGGATCTTGGTTTATTGATACTAATTTAAAGTCAGTTTTGTTATACTGTGTATATGTATTTCTGCTCTTGATTAAGGTATTTGTGCAAATCATTTAAAAATGTAATATATAATTAATATAGGTTAATAGACAATTATCTTTAATAGTCAAGCTTGTGTTCATGTTAGATTTTCTAGATTGACAGATATGTATTTCATATGGATAGGCATTTTTCAAATCTTTCAAAGACCTTCAGAATATGGCATTTAAAATGTTTAAGAATGCTGGGTGGTGGTGGCACACGCCTTTAATCCCAGCACTTGGGTGGCAGAGGCAGGTTGATCTCTGTGAGTTCTAGACCACCTGGTCTACAAGAGCTAGTTCAAGGACAGGCTCCAAAGCTACAGAGAAACCCTGTCTTGAAAAACAAACAAACAAAAAAACATTTAAGAACTTAGGACCTTTTACGACAATGAGACACATCTGCTCCTGGCAGCACCAATCTACTTCAAGAGGACGATGGGCATTGAAGAGGCTCCTTATGGAGTTGGTTAGCCATTTGGGCAAGAAACTGCTGGATGCTATGAGCCTAGGCTGACGATGAATGCCCCAATGGTACAGAAGAACTTTGGGTGACTGTCCAGGCAGCGAGAAGTCTCTGTCAATTCTAGAGTTTTGGAAATTGCTTACAATGCACTTCCTGTTTATTTAGGTAATATTATATAATATTATATCCTTCTGGAGTCCCACAAACACGTACTACCGTGACTCAATGGCTGCAACATCCCATAACCCTTTGTCTGCTGGGGTGAAGAAAATCACGGCTCCATACGTCTTCTGCCATGACGCTACCGTGACACTTGGGAACCATGGCCACTGCGGCTACCTGCACAAGATGGGCTGGCCTGCCTACACTCCATCACGAGTGGAGGAGGGGCCCATGAGGCCTTGCGCCTCCCTAACAAGCTCTATGAATGGTTGGTGGGGGTCTTTTTCTTCAGTGGTGTAGCCACTGCTAAGTTGCCTTGCTTGGCAAAAAGCTGTACACTGTGCTCACACCAGCAAGTCCAACCTCGGTGGATCAAAACAAGGCACAAAAACAAGAGAGTCGTGTTGGGAAGAAAGTGTTCAGCCGGGAAGGGGATGGGAGAAGGTAAAGGGGCAGTGAGTCATATTCATGTGTGAAACTGTCAAAGAAGACAAACAAATAATTATAAAAAAAGCACAATTTCAGACTTAGCGGATAAAATATTTTCAGTTAGAATTTTACAAAAATATAACACAATATTTTGTTTAAATTACATTGATTTATTTTCTTGATTTCCCTCTTAGTCCTGCATGCACTGTTAGCGCACAAGCCAAAGCTGATCTCCACCTCCCCGGAAGGGACGGTGAGCACACAGTCATCTGAGAGCTTCTCCGTCAGCGGCCACCAGCAGTGACCCACATGATGTTCATAGAAAAATGTATCAAATATCCTGTTTAATGTAAACAAGGCAGAGAGGCTAACAGAGTATTAGTGATGATATTTTACAGGGCTTAGAAGTAGGATTATCTATCTTAACATAGCAAGTGTCACGATGACATGCATATTTTACTTTATTATACAATCCAAATACGTAGTTACCACCTAGTTTGTGGGTTTAGCATCTCCCCGTGACTCCTGTGACACAGTGAACTTAGAGACTAAGTGGTAACTGTGATGTAATAACTCAGGGAGACATTACCCTGGAAGTACAAAGTCATTCTATAATCTGTGCCCTGTAAAATTAATGTAACAATCTTTACACTAGCAACAGTGTAAGCAAGCTAAGGATTTTGGTCCATATACATATATGGACCAAATATGGTCCATAAACATATATATACATACACACGTTTAAATACATTTATGTACAAACACAATAATATACAGGTAAGCCAAAAAGCTATGAATCCATCCATAGCTTCATATTGCACAGATACAGTATGAGAACATTATATAGTTATAATGTGAGCCCTGTAATAAAAATTGGCAACGACAAATCTGATTTTGTCAAGTGAAAATGGCTTGTTGCTGAAAATAAACCCAAAGGCTTCTGCTAGAAAGTTAGAAAATAAAAAATGTGCACACCAATTTCCTATTTATACAACCACGGAGCAGGTAGAGTTCGGTTCGGAACTCACCATGGCAACCACTTGGCTAAGGTGGTACTTCCACACACCCGGTCTGTGGAAATCCTGGAAACAGCCAGGTCTCTGGAACTGTGGGAAAAAGCCTTAGGGATGTGGCATATGGTTTCCTTAACAAATCGACTTAGTTCTGACTTGTGCTGACTCTAGGTCTGAATTACATATGCAGAAGAAATTACAGAGGAGAAGCCGACTAACCCTAGCTGGTTAGGGATCAAGGTCATTATGATGACTCAGGAAAACTCTATTCGCAGAAGCAGCAAACACACAAATTATAGTTAAAGCTTTACTGAGCTCGTCTGCGTGGATGAGCGGATAAGGTCCTGCCGGGAATTCAAGACAAGTATTTGGTCTGGGAGGTCACCTCATTGCTACCACACCTACTGAGCACTAGGAAGGCATTTAAGAAATATTTGATACCTCTCAATGCCTTATTACTTAGATGAAATACACCTTCATCTAAGTAGACTGCAGCAACATTTAAAAATGAAGGTGCTGTGGTAATTCTTGCACAAACTGGTCAATAAATACAACAAAACCATTTCTCATCACTCACGGCCACAGAAGGAAAACCATGCAGGGAATCACTGTCTCCTGTTGTTATAGTGGAGTTCTTGATGAGCAAAGAAAGATCTGCATCTTGTTGGAAATGCACAGTTGTTTTGTTTTGACAAGAATGACCGCCCTAGACCTGAGGCAGGCTATTCATACTGTCAGCATTTTGTTTCTAAGTGGCGAAACTGAACTATAACATGAATCAGAAACGCTAGTAAAATAGACTGAACAAAGCGTCAAACGCGCTCTGAGCACATGCCACGCGCTGTGGCTGTGCACACACATCTGGTGACATCACAGAGGGGTGGAGGTGGAGCCTCCCGACAGCAGAGAGGAAAGTGCCGCCCGCTGTTTTCACAGCAGCCCACCTCTGAGCGGCTGCAGAGACAGGCTGAGCAGGTGACCTGCAACTGTGCCCTGCAACTCGGCTCACCTAGACATCCTGCATCCAGGCCACTCCCACACACTCAGGCTCCTCAAATCCGCTAAGGTGTGAACTCAACATAGACTTTTTTAAAATCTCTTTAGAATCTCTTAAGACAAAAGACGGAACAAAATGAAAGCAAATGTAAACAGGAAGAGGCCCTCGGCACCCTGACGGCCTCCTCAGACTTGCTGTCAGCTCCCACCTGGACACGCCCACTCCACTAAGAAAGTCAATTATGAAACAGTTTCATAAAGCCATTCTCAGAGAAGGCATGGGGAAGGTCTCAGCATGTGTTAACTAGCTTTACAGGATACTACTTTAACAAACGCTACCACTGAGGTGGACGAGCCCAAGACTGCTGCAAACGTGAATGTGGAGAAACTGGAGCCACACAGGGAAATCAACACGAACATGGCACAAAAGAGTAAAAGAACATTTCTTTAAAAATATATATTAATTAATACTTTTTTATCATATTAAATTGTTTTCTTACAAAAGCTGAAGAAGTTGATGCTGTTCTCTGTGTTTCATCTCCTGGAGCCTTCTGAGGGCTCCTCAACTACATTTCTTTCTCATTTACAATTTTCTTAAATATTTTGTATGATAAGAATCTTAACCTTAAAAAGTTATAAAATTAGTGATTTTTTGCTGCTTATTAATACAAAAGAATATAAGCATTTAAGTCTCAGAGAATGTCAAAATGCTTTGCTGCCTGGGAGGATATTAAAATAACAGAAATACCAGCAAAGTCCTGACATCAGGAGTTTTGCAGCTTTTCGGTCACTGGAAATGCTATCCAGAAGATCTGATTGCATCCCGGGTTTCAACAACGTGCAGTTTACACAGAGAATCATGACGGAGCCAGGGAAGCGACAACAGGCCTGTTCACCGGCAGCAGCCAGGCAGCAGATTCCTACTTCACTGACAAGGTTCTCGTCCTCTCATGGCTGGGTGGAGCTGAGTCTTTACGGATGAAATGTACACAGTAACGCGGGTTCCCAGAGATCACGGTGATGTCACTCACGGTGTGGCGGAAGCGTGGTACTTCACAAAGGCAATGGCTGCCAGCTCCTTGCAGAACTCCTCTAAGACAATCACACCCTCTAGCAACGTGATGTGGTCGATACTGGAAAAGGCAGACAGAAGGTCAGGGAACAGCACACACTGGGCTGGCTGAGATTTGTGGACAGAGTATGTAAAACACTGACTCACATCTGGCCTTCAGGCTCCAAGCCGAGCAGTCGTTTTCTGACTAGGAGAAGCTTAGGGGTGAAGTCTTGAATACGCTGAATTCGAACCATCAGGTCACCAACAACCTGCAGCAGAAGCAAGATTTTAGCCCCTGAGTGACTGCATAGGGATTCTTGGACAGAGATGCCTCCCTTCCCATCACCAAAGAATGCCAAGTGTCATTACTATCTTTGACCAACCAACTCCTATCTAATCTTCAAAACGTAAATGTCAGGGCTGGGAGATGACTCATGGGTGAGGGGCTTGCTGTGCCAGTGTGAGCACTGAGTTCGAATCCCCAGCCCCCACATACAAGCACTGGTAGTGAACACAGGACAATCCCAGGGGCTCACTGGGCAGCTCACCCAGCTGGGAGGGTGAGCTGTGGGTTCAGCAGAAGACCTGACCTCAAAAACTGAAGTGGACAGTGACAGGAAGACCCCAGATGTCGGCCTCTGGCCTACACAGAAGCACACACGGCCAAGCACACCTCCATGTGCACGTATGCATGCAGCATGGGCCTGTGCACACACGCACACTCACTCATACACACGTGCACACTGTATAAAAACAAAACTTGAGGTTTACTTTATGTGGATGTGTGTTTTGTCTGCATGCAGGTATGTATACCGCATGCATGCTTGGTGCCTGCAGAACCAGAGGGTGTGGGATCCCCTGGAACTAGAGTTACGGAAGGTTGTGAGCCACCGTGTGGGTGCTAAGGCTGAATCTTGGCCCTTTGCTGTTCAGAAGGCCGAGCAATGACCTGTGAGCAGGAGACACGCCCTACTCTACACGAACCACACAGTGAGAGGAGGACGCTGGCGCAGCTGGGAGATCCCAGAGAGCAGAACGTTAATGAACTCACCCTGACGATCACAGAGAAGAGCGATCTGCAGCCAGAGGCAAGGTTCACATAGGGGTCCAGAAGGTACTCATGGGTGTGGGGGTGGGGGAAGAGGCACAGCCTGGACAACACTGAGGTCACCTGCAGATTCACATCATACGGCTGCGGAAAGCAAGAACAGAGATATTCATGTCCTGTGCAGCCCCAACACTTCCTCCACAGCCACAGCTCCCATCCTCTTCTGCAAGGGAGACTGGCAGCTGAATTAGCCCTTCCCAGGAACTCAGTGCACGTACTGCACAGTGCTGAAATTTACAAACAGAAAACACACAGACACCTGCAGAAAGACAAAGCTGATGCAGGAGACAGCTGTTTATGTAGGCTGACGTCATGAATGTGTGTAGCAGGCCATCAAACCTGCAGCACGTCAGATGCAGTATTATTAATCATGAATACGGAGGGCACATTGACCCAAAGTCCTAACAAAGGTGTTTGAATTAAACACAGAAATAACTTCAGGGCTACTCCCCGTGACTCAACGCGTGCACGCAGCTGCTCTGACCTCTCTTGCACGTAGTATCACAATAACCCTGAAATTAATTGTTTGTTGCTGTTTACAGGCCACAGAAAGCCTGCGTTAGAGAGAAAGGTGTCTTTAGAACTTCTGACGGAGCCACTTGGTCCTGCCTGTTCTCTTTCACTGAAGCAGACAGGAATCTGGTGGACTCAAAACGAACTACCTAGAGACAGATGAGGCGGCTAGGACAGCAGAGGAGTTCAGGACCAAGTTTAGAAGCAGAGTGAACTCTGCTTTATCACCATTCACTGACTACAATGAAAACAGACTGCCAATCTCCGGTACTGAGAACGGCTGGACACGGCAGAAGACAGCAGACATGCTGACAAACATAAGCTCCCCCTATTCTGTTACAAGGGTACAAGTCCTGGATTTAAGTTCAACTGTGTGTTTTCTTAAGTAAACTCAAGGTTTTGTGAGAGGAAGAGCTTTCTTCCAGCCACCCTCTCCAACATCTTGCCTTAAACAAGACAGAGGAAAGGAAATCTGAAGTTTAAAGGAGAGTTTAAAAGTCTATTTCCCTACTTGTAAATGTTTACAACAGAACACACACAGAGCCTTCTTCAAGAGAGAGTCCCTTGGCCACGGGAATTCACAACCCTTGGACAGTCATCTAACAGAAAGACTAAGTCAGACAAGATTACTCGGGAGGTCTACCACATTGTATAAGAATCAGTATCTTCCGATGAGTTACCTGGTCAAGAATTCTTCCCATTCTGTCAAATAAAACTTTCAAAAAATGTCCTTCAAAGAAGGCTGCTTCTAAGTCACACTTCTCCAGTGGTTTTGGGGCTCCGGGCCACTCCCATCGCAAACAGACAGCGCAGTAGTCTCGGAACTGGGGGAAAGCATTGGGTATTAAAGAGCAGCCAATCAGGATGAAGCAGTCTTTTCCTCAGAGAGCTCATAAAGAAGCCACGGCTGTCAGCTGCCCGTGAGGCACCAGGGCCAGGTGGGAGGACGCTCGGCCCTGACTAGGAGTACAGGAGACACCACAATGGCAGGGGCACATCCAGGCTGCTGGGAAACGGATTATCTGACTCGAGAAGTAACTCCTTCAGTACCTGCTACGTCCTTTCTTTAAAGGATTGAATCCTTCAGTCATCCTGACAGACTCGGAGAACATTTACAAGGCAAGGCTCAGAGCCCAAACCTCATCTGTCTAAGGTGTTACAGGTAATAATGTTACACATATTGTTACATGAGGTGGATGGTCAAAGCCTGTTGTGAAGCAAGCTTACTGTTCTTAGGACATACAGACACTGGGCATGTCACCAAGAAGGGACAGAACAGTACTCTCCAAAAGGTGGCCCATGGGTCAATGCTGACACTCAGATTCTTGTGACCACCATCAGTGACGAGATTGGAAAAGGGGGAGTCAGCATGCACAGCTCACGGAGTTGACTAGGCACTTTCATATTGGCCAAATCTAGCAAGGAAATGTGTTTTTTCAATGTTCATTTTTCTAGTAATTCATTTTTGATTATGTTCAACGAAGTGTTAGTATATGATAGAGTAGAAATAAAAACTAGTCCTTGAGAGCCACAGGTGCACTAATGGGTAATCCCGGCTCTTGGGAGAGGGGAGCACGAGGTCAAGGCCATAAGCAAATTCAAGGCCAGCCAGACTAGCCAGAGACACCAAATCAAAAATAAATAAATAATAGATGATAGATAGGTAGAGAGAGACAGAGAGTGTCAGCAAATTGAAATCTCATTTCTTGGTGAGCTGATTCCTTTCTTCTGAGTAATGGTTGCTGGCAACTGGGCAAGGTAACAGGAGGGCACATGTGTGCATTTATTCCCCCCCACCCCAAGATCAGCCGGCTCTGTCACCTACCTGCCTGTGAGCATCTCTGAGGTAGGTGTCATACCCAGTGCCCTCGACATGGTAGGATGACTTTGCTTCATCTGGTACTAAACAGAGGAAACTTAAAGGGAAGAAAGGCCACAGTGAGCAGAGTCTCTGCCACAGTATCTCATACACTCAACCACAAAATACACTGTGAGCTTAGCCAGCTATAAATACAATGGAAACTTGAACAATCAAAGTATACATTGCTTTGTAATGGTTTTATTAAAAAATAACTAACTCTGCATGTCACACAAGTCTAAAACAGACAATACTGTGTCACAATAATGGGTTGCTTTTTCTATTAATCTCAAAAACTGGCTTTAAATAACTGAACTTGAGATATTTTTATAGACTGTAATTTTACTTTTGAGCCAGATGCAGTTATTTTATGTTACTTGCCATGATGTGGGATTCCCCTCTGTATGCTGTGAGTACCATTAGTTAATAAAGAAACTATCTAGGGCCTGCGCAGAACAGACTAGAGATAGGTGGCGAAAACTAAACTGAATGCTGGGAGAAAGAAGGCGGCGCAGAGAGAAGCCATGTAGACACTGGAACTTTACCCAGTAAGCCATAGCCTAGTGGTGATACACAGATTAATGGAGATGGGCTAGTTTAGGATATAAGAGTTAGCCAGAAATATGCTTAAGCTATTGGCCAAATAGTACTGCAAATAAAATGGTTTCTGTGTGATTGTTTTGGAGCTGAGCAGCCAGGAACTAACTAACAGCCCCCTACAACATTGCAAGGGTCAGCATTAAAAGCAAAGACACTAGAGAAAACTGTCATGAAAAAGATATTTAAAAAAAAATGTAAAAATACACAATGAAAAAAATAGTTCAACACTTAGCACACATGCGAAGTGAGAACCATTCGTCAGACTGGCGCTTGCCGAGGCTACTGTCAGTGCTGGGGACGTGTGACGTCGTCTCTATTAGATCCTCAGTTATCTTTCCTTTTCTTCAGTTGCTGTGCTATGGCTGGTCTTGGAAGCAGACAGAACGCCCAGGTGCTCCTCCACTGGGCTGAGAGAAAACGACTTTTCTGTGGAGCTGGGTTTTCTCATGGCATCAGCTGTGGCCCCAGCTGCCGCCTGCTACACGACTCAGACAAAAAGGCTCACAGGACCTGCAACACCGAAGTCACGGTGCACTCCTGTGACGGCCTAGGGCGGATCAATCACACAGTGACTCACCTGTTGACGATTTTATGGACTTCCGTCTTGCCATCATTTTTGGGGTGGTCTGGGCTGGCATGGGGTGAACTGATCCACTCTTGGTTTGGCAGAATGTTATCTGGTGAAATGTCAGTAAATAATGGATCTTCCTCCAGATCTCTACGTTCAATTTAATGATGTATAAAAAACAACATTTATTATGACATTTTCTAAACCAAAAGATTCTTTGCTAGTTTTTGAGAAATATTACATAAGTTTTCTAATACAAAGAAGCAATAATGTATTTAATATGCAAATTCCCACTTTACACTAACAATCTCCAGTGCCCACTGCTACTTTTGTTACCTGGCTCAAGGGGTAGTTAGCATTCCCTGGAATTTACCCAAGAGGAAGCGGCTAGACTGCTGGGGAGAGCTGCCCCCAGACACTTACACAGCTCCAGCCACCAGCCCATTCTCCACCGCATCCTTATCTTCCGGGCACAAAGGCCTATATTCCGTGTAGTTCCTTTCCTCCAGGTTTCTCAGGACCAGGTTGTAAAGAATGTGCTCGCTGGGCTTCTGCAGAAGATGCTCGAACAGCCTCAGGGTCATGATGCTTATCTGAAACCACAGCGAGAAGCCGTGCCAGGGGCTGAAGCCACACAGAAACTCACTTGAAGGGTCACAAGCAGAGGCTAGTGAGGTGGCTTAGTGGGTAGAGGGCCGATTACCCAACTTCCGTCCTGGGACGCACATGGCAGAGGAGAAAACCGACTCCGGCAAGCTGCCCTCTGACCTCTACAGGCACACCATGACACATGCATGCCACCACCCCCAGACCTCCTTCCACCCCCACCACCTCCTCCACCTCTACCATCACCAAATCAATCACAAGCGCATTAGAAACACTTAGAGACTCTACGCCAGCCATGTTGCGCATGGCTTACCTCATCAGATATGTGATCACAATGCTCGATTAACCTATGTCTTAGGGGATGCCTGCTAATTTCCGACAGCGTTTCTGGCTCCCTCTGCTCTCCGAGGATAAAGGCCACCATCTCCTGAAGCAGGACGTCCGAGGTCACTTGTCGAACAATGCGATGCAGCAGAGCCGTCGATGTCAGGATCCCCATCTCGGAGCTAGGGAGGCAGATGGGCGGTCAGTGGGAGGAGTGACGGACAGCGACTACTCGACTACTCTACGGGAGAGGGCACTCACGTCTGCATCAGCTGAGGCTCCATGACACCGATAAAGAACCTTTCATGGATGGCTTTGGCGAGAGCAACAGCAGCAGTCTAGAACACAGCATGAACATCAACAAATCACCTTGGGCCTAAAGAGCAGGACTCTCACCAGAAGCCATGTGGAGATAGGACCCAAATGTGGGTGGGGCCTCGGCAAAGCAGGTGTTGGCTTTTATCCAGCCCCATTCCCCAAAACTAAAAAGATCAGGGAAAAAAAATTCCTGCAACTAAATTCAGAGTAATTAATATCACCCCAAAGGGGAAAGCTGGAGGGGAGCCCCCCCCCACCCGCCCCACGCAGTGAGCATCTGCAAAGCACTGCACGTGACACTTAAGATACTTTTGGAAAAGCGATTCACATTTACTGAATAAGCACATTTTAAAGCTATCAACAAACAACAAAGAATTCAAACCTTTTGTGCTTCCTTGATGAGTTGATCACAATAATCAAACCAGGAAAGAAATGAAATTAAGGCTCGCTTCCCAGGGAACGCTGACGCATCCTCTTTATGACTATAGGAGTCCAACCTGCACAGCACAAAAAACAAACCTCAGGTGAGTGTGCACACCAACCTGCACGGCACAGAGAACCTCAGGTGAGCATGCACGCCAACCTGCACGGCACACAGAACCTCAGGTGAGTGTGCACACCAACCTGCACGGCACAAAAAACAAACCTCAGGTAAATGTGCACAACAACCTGCACGGCACAGAGAACCTCAGGTGAGTGTGCACGCCAACCTGCACAGCAGAGAACAAACCTCAGGTAAATGTGCACACCAACCTGCACGGCACTGGGTCAGTATGGGGCCAGGTGAGTGCGCACATGGCCCTTTGTGCTTAGAAGCAGAAAGAAGGCCCTGATGGTGGATCCCAATCAGAAGAGATTTAGGAGACACAGATGAGAGCTCTCTCTTCAGACAAAGCCACAGATCAGTTCCCTCCTTAAATGGGAAACCATCAGATGGCTAGGGGTTTGGCCAGCGAGACAGTACAGGAGCAGGGAACGGAAGGTCTGCCAAGGCAGGCGCCCTGTGCTCATGATGTCACCAAGTGCACCTGCCTGAAGGACACAAGCAAAACACAGCATGGGAAGACAAGAGCAAAGGGTAAACTTCGGGGGAAAAAAGGCAAAAGGTTAAGTGGATGAAAGCATTCGGCTGGCCATAAGTTGTACTTGATGGGTTTAGAACAAAGGGGTAATGAGCTGGGTGGGGAGGGAGACACAGGTGATCCAGGGGAGCCGGGAGAGGCCTGTATACGATCAAACACACTGTGTGAAATTCTCAAATAATATACTTAATTTTAAAAAACAATGAAAATATTAGGCTGCTGGTAGACAGAAGCTTCTGAATAGTAGGTAATGTTACTTTTACCTTAAAACAATTCATAAATGTTACATAAAATTCATATTTTCTTAAAGATTTTTGTTTCTAATGTGTGTTGTGTGGAAATGGTGTGAACACAGGATCCCATGGGGGCTTGAGGAGTGGGTCCCTGGAGCTAGGATTATAGGCAGGTGTGAGCTACTCTGTGTGGATGCTGGGAGCCAAACTTGGGTCTTCTGCAAGAATAGTATGAGTTCTGAACTGTGAGTCGCCTTTCTTGGCCAAAAGTCGTATTTTCTAATGAGAATAAAGTGAGTGAGATTGAGAAGTGGAATTGAAGTAGGGGAGTCTACCACACGGCCACAGGACCCCCAGACTGTCTAGGGCAAGGGAAAGTTACTAAAGGGCAGTCTCTCCTAGGCCAGGTAAAGCCCGAGGCAGAAGTGGGTGGACCTGAGTTCCAGGCTAGCCAAGGCTACACACTGAGAAATTGTCTCAAAAACAAAAGAAAACAAAAAGACCTCTTTTAAAGACTTCTGCTGTTAATATAACAATCAGTTGTTGATCTTGACATAAACCCTATAATGGGCAAAATAAAAGGAGCTAGACTCTGTAACCCCGGCTGTTCCCACACCATTTTGTCATCCCTAAGTGACAAAATAAGGGTCACGGCAGAGCTAAATTTTCCAAACTAATATTCTCGTCATTGTAGAGCAGAGGTGGACTTTGGCACGCAGGCACACAGGCAGGAAACAACGGTGCTTACCCCCAGTTCACTGCCTCCACAGTTTCAATATCCAAGGGATCCACCGTCTGGGGGAGGGCCTGGTACAGGGAGGCAAGTCTGCCGGTCAGCAGCTCGCACAAGCAGGTGCTCTGAGCAAGGCACTTGGCAGCCGCAGGCTCTGGCAGACTCACCAAGAGCATCAAGCCCTCGCATGCTTTCACGGCTATCCGGCCGTCCTGAGAAAGAACACACGTGTTATTTGCGGAGTTAAACATGAAAGGATTCAGTGTTTTCCATTAAAGAGTAAATGCGTTTCTACTTTAGACACGTATTACTGTGACCACGTTGGGAGCGCAGGCTGGGACTCACAGGGCTCTTTGTCAGGGTCAACAGAGAATTCACTAAGTTGTAATCTTGTTTCGGCCGACTGTTGGAGGCCTCTGGCAGTGAGGTGACATTGAGGTCATCCAAGCTTGCAGACAGCTCATCCATCTGGTGAGGGGGCTCTTCCTCTGGCTCCGTGTGCCCCACCCCAGGAGCACGGGGCAGCTCCTGCGGCTGGTGGCACTGGCTGCTGTCCGCTGACACGGGGTCCTGACTTTTGGGGTTATCAGCTGAGGTGACACTCAGAGTTCCTTTGGAAGTGAGCGACTTGGACTTGTTCTGAAAAGGAATGTGTGTCTGTGAGGGTCATAGTCAGGACAGACATTGCGCTGCACGGGGAGGCCCTCCTCAAAGGAACAAAACCCAGATCACATCGAAATGCCCCCTCCCCGTCCTCTCTGGTGTGTTGGGGATCAAGGCCAGCACCTCACTCGGGCTAGACACGGTCTCTCCGTCCACCTCTGAGCTACACCTCAGATGTAGACTTGGGGTTAGGGTGGCGCTGATGGGGAACACGAGGTCCCAAGTGCTGCGCCGCTGTGTGGCACTGCCCATCCTTTCCTGAACATTTAGTTGTGACTCAGGCTAACCCTGAACCCACTTTGTAGCCCGGGCAGGTCCTGAAATGGCAAGCCTTCTTCCGCTATAACCGACCTGTGCCATGAGGCCCAGCTTGGATTTTTCTAGGATAAGCATTCCAGGTGCCTAATTAAAGTGGGAATAAGCGTTCCGTCAAAAGATGTCCAGACTCAAACCACATTTTAGATGGATCTCAGTCACACCAAGTTACCGACTCGCCACACTACACGCATTTGACTCTGACCACACCATGAGCAACGTTAGCCATAACCACCTGACTCCTGAGAGTTCCCAGCTGCAGTTTAGTAACTACGTTATCACAGATACATCAGGCCAGTCCTGTTGGGGAGGGTGCAAAACCTCAAAAGTTCAAAGGTTGCCAGCATTAGATTGAGGTTTCCAAAGAAGCCTCACGTTTTCTTTAATTTGCTCACAACTTTTTCTAAGGATTTTCAAAATCTCAACCTCTGCTTAGAACATAAGGAACCTCCCCGAGGATGGTTTTAATTGTGCTGGAGGAGTCCATTTGCTTGCCTGATCCCCACATCCAAACACAAACAGGTTCTTAACAGGAGTAAATCATAAGTTTCAAGGCAAATATGTCTTGCTTCCTAGTTGACATAGAACAGAAATCAAATTATTCACAAGGCAAAGTTCCCCTGATGCCAGCCTCACCACAGGGCTGACAGGAAAGGCTGAACCGACGACGTCCCCGGCGCCATCATCGGACACCATGGCCACTGCTGGGTGAACATTACTAGCGCGCCCTTGAGAGGGATGAGCCCACGGCTCACAGTTCAAACAGCCCCATGTAGTCAATGACTTGCCAACTGCCTACAAAACCACAACTCTTCTACATGCATGTAACCCCAGCAGATGCCTGCAATGGCCGGTTACACTGGAGAGCTGCAGAGTAGTGGGTGGTGACAGTCGCTACTGTCCACATCAGGGCATAAAGCTCTGTCGCCTGGAAGGCTCGTCATCCAGTGAGGGTCAATCAGCCGGGAGTTAAGCTTTGTTCACTATAAGAAGCTGTGCAGACCCAAAGACTGACAAGGCAGAACCACTGTCCTCAAGAAGCGAACTGACCAACAGGAGGACATCAAAGGCACGTCAGGTCAGTAATTCTGGAGCAGGGGAGGCTGTGTCCGCACTGACTACTATCTACTCACGTCAGGTCAGTAATTCTGGAGCAGGGGAGGCTGTGCCCGCACTGACTACCATCTACTCACGTCAGGTCAGTAATTCTGGAGCAGGGGAGGCTGTGCCCGCACTGACTACTATCTACTCAGCACCACGTTCTACGCTGAATAAAGCAGACCTGGGTTTTAAACGAAAATGCTCCTATGAAGACAGGCGTGTCAAGTACATTTTATGACCAACACACACAAGCCCACAGACTTCCCCTGGTCCATGTAATCAACAGACGAATTTCAGGGATTTTCAGGTATGTTTTGGGGGAAATCCATCTAAAGTACACTAAGTGTGTCTAAGAAAATATTAGAAAAAAAAGAACTTTGAAAAGAAAAATCTCAGCCAGGAGTCATGGTTCACACTTGAGATTGGAGCTTGCAGGGGCTGAGAGAGGATTTCTGCAAGTTCAAGGACAGCCTAGGGCTGTACTGAGAATGCTAGGCCAGGATGGGCTACACAGAAATGAAAACCAGCCAGGCACGCAGGCAGAGGCAGAAAGAGCGCCTGGTCTACACAGCAAGTTCCGGGCCAGCTTGGGCTCATAGTGAGCTCCTGTCTCAAAGCACAAGCAAGGTGAAGAAATCCCACAGGGAGCCAAACTTATCTATTTCTTATCAAACATTCAGAACAGATGAACTATAATGCAGTTCTAAGTAACGTATCTTGAGAAATCCCAATTCTTGACTAACAGAACTATTTTGATGCAAACTTGAAAAAGAAGACAATAAGGGCACACATTAACAGAACACAGGCATTTCATGGCCCTGGTACTACACACAGAATTAAATCCAGCAATTCTGCAGCTGTGCTGCTTGTCAGCATCCGGAAACGGTGCAGATTATTCAACAACAGAAGAGAAACCAACACATCAGAACGGCAAACACCGAGAACGTCCCGACGCCCCGAGACAGTGGGCACCGGCACACGCTGCCAACAGAGGGCTGACCACAAAGCCGCTTTCCCTCAAGGATGTCACTGCTAGGAAAAAGAATGGGACAAGGGCATGGCTAAGTCATTAAAATGGCTGTCTCTAAGCACAAGGGCTTCAGCTGAGATTCCCAGCACCCTCCACGGGGGCTCAACCCTGCACTAGGCAGGTGGAGCCAGAAAGACCAGACAGTCTACAGTCTATCCCAATTGGTGACCTCCAGTTTCAGTGAGAATCAGTCTCTCTCTGTCTGTCTGTCTCTCTTACACACACACATGCGCGCATGCACATGATATGCAAACATAAATTTTTTAAAAATCTAAAAAAAGATGAAAGGAAAACAGTGAACCAGAGCAGAAAGTAGACACAATTTATTTTCCTTTTTAAAGTTGTAAATAAGATTTAAAACAGACCATGGCTATAAAATAGTACAAAACACGGCAGCTGTGCAAATGGAAAGCGAAGCTGTCGGTAGCTGGAGATGCTGTGCAGCCCCTCTGCACCTGCTGTTCCCCCCACGATTCCCAGGCACAGCGCGTGTCTGGTTCAACCGCTGAAACTCCCCTTCCACGGTGACTTCAAGTTGAAAGAAACACCGATCTTAAATGAAAACTACTTCTGCAGGCAGAACTTGCAGGCCTGAGCTGCCCTGGGGATTGCACCTCAGTTTCCACAATGAGCTGCGAGTCCGAGAGTGTGGCATACCTCCAGAAAGAAGTTGACCAAGTAGGGATCCTGTTTCAGCTTCGCGCAGACGATGCAGAGAAACTGGATCTCTTCATTTTCCGTTGGTGTGGCAAGCACCTCGCCACACAGTCGGATTAATTTCTGTCAAAACAGTTTTTAAAGTTTAAAACTCTCTTTGTGATATTGTGGAGGTAAAGCAACAAGAAAACGTATGGAACTTTACAGAGAAGTACAAACATGGCGAGATAAAAGAAAACCCAATGTCTGCTAATTTTTATGCTGTGAGAACAATATACTCCATTATTCTTACTCCCAGAAAAACAATACAAAATGACTTGTATATGGGATCCAATGAGCTTTTAACCTGCAGTCCGGGGAGTGCGTACCTGCACCGGCCTGTGAACGTTGATGTGCGGAAGCAGGGGCTGCCGGATTCTTCCCAGAAGCTTGGTATAGAAGAGTAAAACCTGCTGCTTCATCCCCGGAGGACACTGAGCACAGACAGACAACACACGTGAGTGTTCACAGGACAGACTATGTCTGTCAGCACAGCCCCCCCTCAGAAACAATGCCAGTGACCAGTTAATGACTTTGCCATAATAAAAATTTCCATTCATAGCTATGACTGGCATTCTAGAAGCACAATTATACACCTGAGACCATACGTGGCATGTGGAAGCACGGCCTCAGGTGATTACACACCAGGGTGAGCACGCACTGTCGAGACTAGCATGCTCGGGCACCATCAGGCTGGTCACTGCTGGGACAACACAGGCCCATGGGAGCTGACTCCCTGCCAGACCAAGGGCAGATTTTTTTTTTTTTTTACTTAGAGCAATGAGCAGTTTATAATAAATGCATGGATATTAATAAAAAGGCATCTTGTGCATTGACTTCTTTATGCTAACTGCCAAGATATTTGGATTATAAGTACTATAAAGAACATCACTAGGACATTCTTAGAGCACGCCAGCTACTGAAAGGCAGAAATCCTGACGCACACTCTGGATTAAAAGAGCGTGAGTCATATGCTCTGTAATAAAGCAGATGACACTGCCTACATTCAGTGAGAACAGTCATGCGCATGTGTATGCTCACGGATCATCACAGACATGCTACATGGAAACAGGCTAAATATAATCCTTAGCACGATGATATTTTTAGGGTAACAACTACCTTATGTTATTCAGATAAAATGCTAACAATATTTATAATCACTTATATCAGAAATAAGCTTATTAGCGGTACAATTACTAGCATCCTGCTAAAACATCCAACTAATTCAATTTAGTATGGTAAAAGTGCACACTCTAAAGAATGAGGGCAAGGGAACATAAGACAGCTCAGGCTATCAGATCTGCTTCTTAGGGAAGAGCGTGCTTAGCTCAAATGCACTTAACTGGGGCATTACACCCTTCGTTAAAAAGAAATTGTCTTTAATATGATTTACACTATGTGGAATTAAAATACCATCATCTCATTTAGTCTCTTACATCGCAGAAATTCCCAGAACCACTGAGGTTTCGGCTGGAGGGGGGTCTACCATCACTTCCAGCCGCCCGAACTGCAGTTTATACTGGAGAGTAGGTGTGCAGCCAGCAGCCTTCTGGCGCCTGTAAACACCATGGTGTCCACACCACGACAAAACCAGCGGACACATTTCTTAGAACATGCCTCTGTGGCTAAGAATGCATGAACTTGAAGCTTCTGTGGTAAAAATACCACATTATATTATATCTAATATTATAACATAAGCTCTTATGTTATATTAGATTTGCAAAGATTTTTCAAAACTCACTAGGCCCAACATTTGCATTACATCACTGAGTGATTCAGGGACTGTCGGGGTAACGATGCTCCCTTTCAGGACCACAACCTCCCTGACTGTGAGTTTGCCCTGGGATTCCAGGCAGCTAAGCAGGAGTGCGGTCCTGAGCAGCGGCAGCTCTGCTCTCTGTGCACAGGACACAGGACCCCCCATCTCCCCGGTCTCAGGCCCAGCAGTGCCACGTGCCGTTCCTGTCTCCACACTTGAACTGTGCACCCGGAGCTCTGCCTGTATCACACAGGGTGGGTCAGGGGCTTACGTCGGCCTTCCCTAAGGTGTACAACGTCTCCAAGATCTTGTGATGGAGCAGGTACTCCATACACGGCCCCGTCTCCCCAGACTCTCGCTCATTTTCCTCTTGTACCAGTATGTCCAACATCTGCTCCAGGTGGGACGGGATGTTCGTATCTGTCACGGGGGCTTTATCATCTAAACGATAGAAAAATTACATCAAATACTCGGAAAATTTCTTAAACTTCCTGTGTGCGACTACATTACCCTCCTTCCTGCCTCCATCCCAACTCTGACTGAACGGAGTTCTGAACCACATGTCTGAGGCATATTCACAGCATGCCTGTCTTTGTTAGCATGACACCGTCAGGCTGTGACCCACAGCCTGGAACATACTGTCAGTGAATGCTTCTCTGTTATCATTTGGAAATGGTCTCTGAAAGGCAGAACCCAACCTCTGTCTCCTCTTGTCCACTGTTCCTAAATTATTAACTTTCCTGTGACCCCTGCACACACGTCTGCCTGCAGTGCCTCCTGCTCGTCTACTCAGGAGCTCAGCTCCCTTAGAGCCCAGGTTAGACCTTGCTCCCTCCAATCCTTTCTCTCCATCCTCCAGCTGTCCCAAGACGCTCCCCGACTCAGACCGCATCTGTCCCGCACCAACGAATGTGCACACTTGCTTCTGCTATGGGATAGAGAAAAAAAATCCCTTAAAGCAAGAATGTTTAAATCCTTTAAAGCAAGGCCTTAATGCCAAAGAAAGAAAAGTAAAATCATAAAAGCTGACAGTAATATTAAATGTGGCTTGTCTCAAAAGAGAAACCTCTGCAGGTCAGCGGCTAAACACAACTGCACTCAGTGCGTGTAAACTGACTTTACATCTGGGGGCCACACCCCGGCCACCACTGACTTCAGAGCTGCTTCGGCACCTCAGCACCACAGATCACACACGCAAAGGAGACTACGCAGCCCAGATGGGCTAAAGTACAGTTTGCTAATCCTCAAGCTAATCTAGCCAAGCCCTTCTCCTTACTGATCAGAACAGGAGCAACAGGAGATAACACAGGATACGTGGGGTCTACTCCTGGCTGCTCTGCTTTCTGCCTTGTTTGCATGGGAGAACCATCCACTGTCCCACAAGGCCAAGTCCCCACTTCAGTGCTAATTCTCTCCTTCCTACGTAGTGACGACACTCACTAACAACCCAGTCTGACTCTGGGATTTGCCCTTTCCTCCACTGGATTCTCTGAAACCTATCTCATATCTTCCGTCTGTCTCTCCACCCATTTCTGTTTAAATGCTGGTGTTGGATGCTGGTGTTGTGGATGCTGGTGCTGGATGCTGGTGTTGTGGATGCTGGTGCTGGATGCTGGTGTTGTGGATGCTGGTGTTGGATGCTGGTGTTGTGGATGCTGGTTTTGGATGCTGGTGCTGGATGGTGGTGCTGGATGGTGGTGTTGGATGCTGGTGTTGTGGATGGTGGTGTTGGATGCTGGTGTTGTGGATGCTGGTGTTGTGGATGCTGGTGTTGGATGCTGGTGTTGTGGATGCTGGTGTTGGATGCTGGTGTTGTGGATGCTGGTGCTGGATGCTGGTGCTGGATGCTGGTGTTGGATGGTGGTGTTGGATGGTGGTGTTGGATGCTGGTGCTGGTGCTGGATGCTGGAGTTGTGGATGCTGGAGTTGTGGATGCTGGTGTTGGATGCTGGTGCTGGATGTTGCACCGAACTTGTGCCAGGCAAGTGCTCTACCACTGAGTTATCCCCCCATCCTAGGACTTTACATCTTTCCAAGTAATTAAAACATTTCCGGGGTTTGGGGGAGGTGGCTCAGTGGGTAATGTACTTGCCATTCAAGCACAGGGACCGAGTCCAAATCCCAACACCCACGTAAAAGCCAGGTCTGGTGGCTGTGACTGTGACCCCAGTAGTCTGGGGAGAGAAAAGTCGGGTGGACCTCAGGACCTCACTAGTCAGCCAATCTAGTAAATCCATCAGCTTCAGCAACAGACAGCATCTCAAAAAGTAAGGTAGAGACGGTCAACGAGATGGACGAACAGGCGAAAGTGCCTGCTGTGCCTGATGACCCGAGCCAACCCTGGGAGAGAGCCAACTCCACAGAGCTGTGCTCTAGCGCTACACATACACCAAGGCATGCTTATTCATTTACATTGTACACACACACTACACACATATACATCACACACACGCGCACATGCACACACACACTACACACATATACATCACACACACGCGCACATGCACACACACACATACAAGGGGGGACGGACAGGAACAGAGGGGGATAGATGGGGACAGAGGAAGAGAGAGACTGAGCAACTAACTGACCAATTTTTACAAACATAAAAAAGATGGAGTGACTAAAGGTGCCAGGTGTGGTCTCTGTCCCCACCCCGCTCCCACCCATCCTGGGTCTCCTTACGCAGCATTCCTCATGGGGGTGAACCACAACTGCCCATCTATTTTCTACCCATTTCTCCAAGCTTCATCACTGATCATCTCAAGGACACCCATATGGGGCCGGCCGGACGCATCAGCAGGTGGGAGCACCCAGTGAGGGCCTCTCCAGACAAACGTGACCAAGAGGCAGTGTTGTCTTCTCAGGACTGAAGTAGCCACCTGTCCCCCCTTCCCCCCCATACAAGCTCTATCAGGACAGAGCTGCCGGGGCTGCTGCGTGTGCAAGACAGGTACTCAGTTCCCGCTGCCCAGAACAACGACAACATAGGAGACGCTCCAAAGGGACATTGAGAATGTCCCTAAGAGAGGAGTCAAAGGTAAAACTGTTTAAAGTTAACAATAAAGTAACTGAGAACTCATCTTGAAGCAGATCGTAGGCACGCATGCTCTTACCTGAGGTTTCTATGTAGTAATGGGTGATGGCCTTCCAATGATACACAAAATCTTCTTGTAACGGCAGAGACGGTGCAAGCTGCAAACACAGAAGACCAGACGTGTAAGAGTGAGGCACCAGAATAAGGGGCAGACTTGAACTCAGATATCAAATACAATCAAAATGTGTTGAATCCAAAGAAGTAAAATGATTTACTAAGAAGAAAGCCACCTTTATCGATACTATTACTAAACTACCCCACATCCAACCTTCCCCCAGCTGCTGTTATCACGTGGCTTCCGGTGACTAAAACCAAAAGGCGCGGTATCGCGACCCGGCACTACTGATAACCAGAGGTCTGCGTACCTGGGACTTTGGCAGGGGAAAGGTGATGAGCAGCTGGCAATCGCTTACCCATCGGCACAGCAAACACGAGCACTGCCAACGTCATAATCAGATTAAACTGCTCCCTACTTCCCATGGCTTCCTGATGAAAATATTTTTCTTTGTAAGCCTAGGTCAGGCAGTGTATATTTTTAGGAAAATAACTACATGAACAAGACATAAAGTCTACAAAATGTGTTCAACGGCAAGCTTTGAGAGGCACTTCATAAGTTTTAAGGCCAGAATTATAGCACTAGCCACCTTGCCGCAAGCCGACCAGCATTAGGGAATGTGTGTTAAATGGAAGAAAGGCAGATGTGGCCACTCCTTTGACTCTGGGCTCTTTTGCTAGAAAGGGGTGGGGGTGGAGGGACAGAGAGGTGGGGGACACCCTAGAGGTGTCATCGACTTCTGTCAGATGTACAGCTCTGACCACGGTTGTGCAGGGTAGAGGTTTCTATCCTGAGAACCGAAGTCTGACGGGTAAACTGCCGTCTCATGCTCGGCCTCTAAGTGCCAAGAGTGTCCGACCGTCCAAAACTGAGGCCAGCGGTCATCTACAAAGCTCACGCTTGGCAATGCAGCAAACTGAGCACACGAACATGCATGCACACACTCATCACGTCCTAAGAAGTCTGCGATTCTGTGTTGGCTGAATGACCTGTAGGCAGATCTCTCCTATGCTTCCACTTGTTCCGAGATGACCTTTGGTTTCCCAGCCAGCGACCTTGTAGTTGACAACTCTGTCAACACAATTTCTCAACTCTTGTGCAACTTACGGATATAGTCACAGACATGCTAAGTGGCTCCATCCACCAGGTGAAACACATTTATGCTTTTCATAAATGTGTGGATTCTGGATGAAGAATTTCACACCACCACTGGTTTCTTAAAGCTGATTCTTCCTACACTGGCCTGTGTGCAGAGATCTTGACCGAGAAGGTAGAACTACCCAGGGCCACCGTGAAGGAGCGAACAGGCAGCCAAACTTTACTTTTGTGGAGTTAAATTTACTAAAATGGGGCAGACACAGGAGGGAATGGGATGTGTTTAATGTAGTGACAATTCGACCTTTTGGGTGGTGACAGTGTCCCTCCTCCAGCCTCTCCCCAGCAGTGGCACACAGCAGGCTGGAGGCTTTGCCAGTTGTGTATGGGCAGCCTTGCCACAGAATAGCAGCAAATCCCAAGCAGGATGGCGCTATTACCTCAGTGTTGGAGGGAGGGAAACCGTGGAACTATTCTGAATCGCCAATAACTCAGATGAGTAACAATCTCATTCAAACATAAATAAATCTTACTTTGTGAGACTACAGTGAACGTGTCTTTTCTGTTACTAAGATGCAAATGACCTGTTACCACTGCATAAAAACATCTATCCTTTGAAAGGAATGGTGACTCAGCTCCAGGAGACTGTAATTTAATGGTTTAGTATTCGGAGATGAAATTCTCAAAACTCTCATCCCTATAGCCAGCCCAAATTGCCAGGTTACGTATCTGTGACTTCCTGTTCTCCTATGTGGAAGCTCCTCCTCTTCAGGAAGTTTTCCCTCTCCACTCTGAGGCTTCCTCCTAGCCTTGACACCAGCCTTTCCCACTGTTTAACCTTCTCTCCCTTAGGCCGAATCTGGACAAGGGCTAGGGTGGGCCCATCCCTTTTATCATTTAGACTCCTGGTTTCAACTCAGCAATGGAGCCCAATCAGCACCAAAATACTCATTCCATGAAAAAACGGGCGGCCCAGTGACTGACAGTTGATGTGTGGACTTGCAGGCCAGCACTGCACTGGCCAAGCACATCATGGAGTCTTTACTCACTGGCAAACTGAGGCCAAACCGAGGGCCTGGCAGAAGCAAATGCTCCACCGTCAGGCCACACCCCCAGCTCCTTTTCACTTTCTGGTGTTGCAGCAGGGGCTCACTACATATTCCAGGTAGGCCTTGAACTTGCAATCTTCCTGCCTCCGCTTCTTGAATGCTGGGATTACAGGAGTGCACCACCCAGGCACCCCGCCTAAAATGCTGTTAAACTCTCATTCAGAGTTCCTCTTTTGCTCAAACTCCCATCAGAGACCAAAACACCGGTTAGCTGACTTTCCTTAGGTAACAATGCTTTCTGCTAGGAACCTGGACTTTGTCCAACATGTCCAACATGCAAAAGAACTTCCATCAATAAACTGGACAAAACTTTGTGGCCACAACCTCTGCTTTCAAGATCTACAAAATGCACACCCTAAAAGATTCCACCCCAAACTGTCTGTTCTGTTGTTTGTTTTTGTCTGAGACAAGGTCTCTTATAGTCCCAGCTGGCTTCAAACTCACTGTGTAGCTGGCCTTGAGTTCCTGATCCTCTGGCTAGTAAATCTAAAATATATTAATTTAAACATATATTTAAAAGTTTAAAAGGGGTAGGTACTGAGATGATCCCGCAGTCAAAGACAGGTGCTGGTGTCTGACCACCTGTGTTTGATTCCCCAGGATTCATATGGTAAAGGGAAAGATGTCCCCAGACTTGCCCCCATCAACTGCTGTGGGGTCTCTCTCTCTCTCTCTCTCTCTCTCTCTCTCTCTCTCTCTCTCTCTCTCTCTCTCTCTCACGCGTGCACACACACATGCATGCACTCACTCAAAAAAAAAAAAAAAAGCCATGATAAAAATGTTCAGAAAAGGTCAGCCGGGCGATGGTGGCGCATGCCTTTAATCCCAGCACTCTCGGGAGGCAGAGGCAGGCGGATCTCCAGGAGGCAGAGGCAGGCGGATCTCCGTGAGTTCGAGACCAGCCTGGTCTACAGAGCTAGTGCCAGGACAGTCTCCAAAGCCACAGAGAAACCCTGTCTCAAAAAACCAAAAAAAAAAGAAGAAAAGGTCAGGGGTGGGTAGAAGCCTGGTACGGAGCTCCCCTAACATTTACCAAGGCAGGCCCTGGGTTAAATCCTCAACACCAGAAACTAAACAGAAAACAAACCACCAGCCTGAGGTCCCAGATCTTGGGGGAGGGGGGCAGAAAGATCAGGAGTTCAAGGTCATCTTTGGTGACTTCGTAAGTTTGAGGGCCCTGACTCCAAACCAAAACAAAGCAAAACAAAAAATTTAAACTCCTTATCTAGATGAATATATATCTGATCAACCTTTAAAAAAATACAGAAGGCTTATTTGACTGCTATGGACACTTGGCCAGCAACAACACTAGGAGGCCAGGTAGGGCAGCATAGTTCTGCAGATGCATGCAATGAGAGGTCTGGTCACAGGCAGGCCTGGGATTCCCTCCCAAGTCAGCAGAACCCTGACGAGTCTATGCACTGGAATGCTGCACCAGAACATAAAAAGAGAAAGAAAAAGTCAACAAATTATGGGATGGAAAGAGAAAGAAAAAGTCAACAAATTATGGGATGGAAAGACATGTTTATGGATTAAAAAAAAGTGAAAAAGTCAATGAGTAACCAGGAACTAATCTTGGGTTAAGAAACATTCAGCTACCAAAGGATGGCTTATTTACCATTATCTAAGAGTTCTTTCCCAGGAGAATGTTGAAGGGGGCATAAAAAATATTCTTCATGGGATGAAGTCTATTATTCTATAATTCCAGCCCTAGGGCAAAGGAGGAAGATCTACAAATTTACAACTCTGATTGTTTGCTGACCCTAAAACTCACCGTATTTGATTTTTTTCTTTAAAAAGGTATGTGAATTTGGAAGTGATTAGGTCATTCTCAATGTAGGTTCAGGACCAGCCTGGGCTGCAGAGCAGAACCAGCTGGATTTCGGGAGCTGTACTTTCTCTTGGTAAACTGTGTGGCTGGCAGCACAGCTCAGAAACCAGCACTGAGCAAGCGGACTTGACATTTTTTTTCCCAGGGGCCAGACATTTCTCCCTGGACTAGGCCAACCTAGTGAACTCATTCCCCTCACTGACAGAGCAAGACAGAGACACTGACTATTACCTAGCCAGTCTCTCTCAGGTAATTTGGCAGATGTTAATGATACGTGCAATTATAAAAAGATTACAAAGTTAGAAAACACAGGCCTTAGGACAAAAACGAGCTAGGCTTGGAGATGTGCGTAGAACTTAACACTCTAGAGGCTAAGGCAAGAAGTTCAAGGCCAGTCTGGGAAACCTGGTAACATTTGATCTCAAAAAAATAAAATAAAATACAGTTGGAGAGCTACTGCCTAGAATATGACAGGCCCCAGGGCCTAATCCACGTAACTTAATTCTTTCTAATTTATCATCATATTACGTTTGATGACTCTTTATAATCTAAAGTATAATTCAAAACATCAATATAACTGTTCTTAAAACTTTTAACTATTTTACGAATGCAGGCTGACTCTATCTAAAGCAGGAACCACAAGCGTCTCACAGCCCTGTCCATTACAGCCCTGTCCATGGCCACCTGTGTCAATACAGCTCCTCACCCTCTTTCTTTCTTGGTCTGATGTGTCACCAAGGGGGGAGGGAGGGACAAAAACAAAATACCTAAATTCCATATACTACATAACTGGCAATTGTATTAAAGTTTTGTCTCCATAACTAAAATTCACAATTCTAATTTTGTTAGCTGACCCTTAACATCACTGTGGTATTTTTTTTCCTCCCTTTGAAAAGTAGAGTGAAGCTGAAAGTGTTATTTTCTTTCTCAACATGTAAAGAAAATGTCATCTTAAAAAGGAACACAGTAACTTTCTTCACACAAAATAAGCAAGTTTAAAATAAAGCCGCGTTGAGCACCGGCAAGGTATTCTCCTTCTGGGTTGTTCAGGTCTGTCAGGAGGTTTGTGTAAGGTCCCTCGGTGCGTTTAAGACCGGCCTCAAAGAACAGCGGTTGCAGGCTGAGCCAAGAGCGTCCGGGAAGCGCAATTTTAGACAAGAAAGGGGAAACAGATGGTGTGAGCCCGGCGATCGCGGACCTGCAAACTCCTGCAGATCCGTCACCCAGGTCCGGCCGAGGTGGGCCGCCGGGCCCGAGCAAGCAATCGCCGGCACCGGTGTCACCCGGGCCCGCGGTCCCACCCGCACGAAAGCCAAAGCAAGCCCAGCCCACCGGCGCCGCCGTTCTATTGTCTTGGGCGGCGACGGCCCGGAGGCCCCGGAGGTTAACGGCCCGGAGGCCCCGGGAGCCGCCCGGTTCGGGGCGGGAAGGCAGAGGCTGCGGTCGGGAGGAGCCCGCAGGCCTCCCGCAGCCTCCCCCGCGCCCCGCAGCCCGGGCGGCCGGTCCCCGCCACCTCGCACCCCGCGCGGCCTCACCGCCTCCACGGCGTGCTGCAGGATGGACGTGAGCTTGGAAAACATCCTGTCCCGGGACTGCAGCAGCTTCTCCCGGGACGACCTGGAGAGCTCCTCGATGCGCCGCCGCCGCCCCTGCTGCGGCTGCCCGGGCCGCTCCAGAGTGAAGGCGGGTGCGGGCGGGAGCTGAGGACGAAGGCCGAGCGGGAGGCGCGGCGGCTCGGGGAGCGCGAGGGGCGCGGGGAGCGCGGCGGGCGGCTCCGAGAACACTCGGCTGGGACTCGGGGCCCCGCGGAGCTCGACGGTGGCGGTGGCGGCGGAGGCAGCGGACACGGTGGCAGGAGGCTCGAGCTCTTCCGGCAGCGCTGCCCGCCGCGTCCTGCAGGGGGCGCCGGTGCGGCCCGGGGAAGCCGAGGCCTCCGCTGCAAGCGGCGCTGGACGTGGGGCGGGGCGCGCAGAGGCGGCTGCAGCGGCGGCGGGGAGGGCGGGGCCGGCGCGGTGCACCGGGAGCTGCTCGAGCTCGTCTCTCAGTGAGCAGCGCAGGGTGGGGGTTTCGCAATGACACGTTGACGTGGTGCTTACGTGTGCACCGTACGGGGGCGGGGGCAAGTTGGGAAGACCGCTAGGGAAATACCGGCATCCCTAACGCCAAAACGACCGGTGGGTCCGCGTGCTAGGAACTCGAGCGCAGCAGAGGCAGGTGGGGGGGATAAAAGAGTCTGCTGGACTGTATAATAGCTTGTCTTACCAAAACCGGAAGTTCCGAGTGGACACGTGGGACGAGGGTTCGGTTAAATAACTCAGGATAGTGTCGTACACCGTTTCAGTGTGTTCCTGGAAAAGAGTCTTTAAGATGCCTCAGACCGATGAGTGGAGTGGGATAAGCACCGAGCCGGAGGCTTCCTAAAACACTGTGTGTGCATCAATGTTGAATCCTAGAGGAAACACTGATTTCGACTGGACAATTTTAATTTGGTTGATAGAACTTCTGAACAATCCTGGTGAACTTTGCGGTAAGCTGATGTTAGCATTTCACCGAGAGGATCGATCAGGACGTTCTGGATTAGAGGAGTCGATTTCTCATAACCTTGGGTGAAAACACCTATTTATAGTAGAATTCTTTGAACAGAGGGCAGGAAGGGCAGAATAGCCGGTTTAAGAAGCCGGGCCCTGGAGCTGGGTGCCTGCTGGGGTCCAACTCTGCCACTCTTGGGCGTGGGGTACACGGATTTTCACACACGGATTTCCCTCGTTGTTGTTATAATATTAGTAACCATCTAGAGGATGGGAAAACAAGGTGAGGGGAGACTTGAGTCTTCTCCTTCGCTTCCATTCTTGGGTTGTATGTACTTCTGCTATGCTCAAAGGGCGGCAAACACGACCTCACTTTCTGCAAACTAAAGTGCTGGCAACATCCTCTAGTATTTGTCGAATATTGAAATGTGTTCCTTTGCAAATTCAGGCTCCTTGTTCCTGCTCCAATCCACAGCACATAATGTTTGTTGTTATTATTATTCGTAATACTTTATTAACTATAATGTTTCCTGGCTTAATTATATGGCATTTCGTGTTTTCATAATGCCTAACAACCACAACTGTGTGACGAGGTATGTTTAAACAGACTATGGGTTGTGTACGACGGATATTTAACTTTGTATACTTATTATAAACATAATAAAATATATATTTGGCTCTGGGTTAATAACAATACTCAATGATTTATCTACCTGGTACCTAATTTCTGAGATGCACAAGTTAACCAGAATGTCACTGAGCCAGTGGTTATGGTTGCTATTCTCATCCCGGCATGCTTGCAGTGACACTAATGTACAGCGTGCTAAATGCATGGGTGCAGTTGGATGCACCTCAACAACTGACTTGAGAAAGCTCAGGAAGAAACGTCCTTACCCTTAAAAACACCGTGGTTGCCTGAAATTCCTTAGCTGGGACCTTCTGTATGTATTCTGTTTGCTTAAGGCAAGTCATAAATGTAGTCCTTTTTGAAAACTGAATTGGGGCTGGAGAATGCGTGCTAAGAATGCTTGCTGCTCTTCCAGGCTTCCCAAGTTCAGTTCCTCACACCTGCACCAGGTGGCTCAACCTCCTATAAGCCCAATTCTAGGGGATCCAACACCCTCTTCTGCCTTTGAGGGCATGTGCATGTCTGTGTACTTGGAAGAAGCACACACACTTAAATAAACACAGAAGGCCTGGAAAACTGAGGCCCAAGTAGGATGGAACTGAGAGAGAGAGAGAGAGAGAGAGAGAGAGAGAGAGAGAGAGAGAGAGAGAGAGAGAGAGAGATGATGATGATGCTAATTTTCAGTGTTTGGCGACTTCTGATTCACTGGGTGGATGGGAAAAAAATATTAGCAACATCCGCTTCACAAATCTTGCTAAACTGAGTAAAAAGTTTCTCCTCTGAAAACCCAAAAGGACAAGGAAGTCGGGAGAAGAGTCGGTAGCAGAACTAGGAGAACTGGAAGACAGCTAAAAAGGGGTTAAAAGCCAGGAATCGAAGCAATGCATTAATTCCAAGATGATATAGATATGAATTATTTGCATTAGTATAGCTTTTGCTTTATTGATAGAGATTTAAGGTCAGTTTTGTTATATGTATATGTATTTCTGATCTTTATTAAGGTATTGTGATTGTGTAGTTCATTTAAAAAGCGCACCTTGGGGTGCTACAAACAATTATTAGAAATGGGCTAGTCCAGGTGCGAGAATTAGCCTAGAAGAGGCTAGATAGAAATGAGGCAAGCGGTGTTTAAATGAATACAGTTTGTGTGTTGTTATTTCGGGCATAAGCTAGCCAAGCGGCCTGGGTGCTGGGGACGCAGCCCCGCCGCTCCTATTTCAACACCAAGAACTTCTCATGGTTTAGGAATTAGTAACAGAAAGTGGTTTTCATGTGAAATGTCCCCCATAGATAGTTATGTTTGAACACTTGGTCCCAAGCTGCTGCTGCTGCTTAGGGAGTTAAGGAACCTTAAGGAGGCGGGGCTTCCTAGGGGAAGTGCACACTGGGAGCCTGGGTTTGAGAGTTTGTAGTTGGCTCCTCTTCTGGTTCCCTGTCCGTGCTCCCTGTGTGGGGGTGAAGGGAAATTGGATTGCTCAGCTTCCTGACTTCTAGACTAGCCTCAAGCTCCGGCTGCCATGTTTTGCCTGCCATGATAGACTGTCCTCTCTGGAACCATAAAGTAAATCCTTTCTTTCCTAAGTGGCTCTCAGATGTGGTATTTGTCACAGCCACGGAAAGGCAACTGAAAGAGCAAATGGCACAACCAGGATCTAAAGTGGTAGGACAGATGAAGTTTGTTGAGAACTCGGTAGACGCCCCCTCTCTGCTCTCTGCAGACCTGGCATAAGATGGCTTAAGTCAGGAGAGGGTAAAAAGGCCATGTCGGGATAGCGGGCAAGAAAAGAATGAAGTGGAAATGGACAATGAAATGGACACATTTCTACCCCACCCCTGTCTCCTAGTGTTGTTCCCTTGGAAACTACAGCTCCCAGACTCCTCCTGGATTACCGATACCTGCGCACGCTGGTGTGCCCAGGTGCGGGTCATTTCTCCCAGATAACCTTGCGCTTCCCGTTAAAAAGCGAGCTTCCACGAGGTCTCGCTCTCTCTTGCCCCCACCCTTGTGTGTCTCACACACCCATCCCTTATCGTGTCTCCCTCCCCCCATTAAAGTGCACCCACGTGGGAGCCTCGTGTCTTGTCTCCTCCTTTTGTGAGTGTCTCGTCTATCCTGTGTTCGTCTACACACCCCACCCCGCCGTTTTTAAAGGAATAATACCTAGGATGGTCAACCAGTGTGGTCTCCCCTGTCTCCTGGGATTGTCAACCAGCCTGGTCTCCCCTGTGTCCTAGGATGGTCACACCAGCCTGGTCTCCCTGTCTCCTAGGATGGTCACACCAGTCTGGTCTCCCTGTCTCCTAGAATCATCAACCAGTCTGGTCCTGCTGGATGGAAAGACCAGGAATTGAGAAAGACCCGAAGATGCTGACAGGAGCCCAGTGCAGACCTCTGAGCTCTTGCCATGTGCTCAGATGGCTCAGTCAGTCTGACCTCTCCTAAGTGGATCAGACACCATGACACCATCAGAAGATGAGGAACGTGTATACGATCCATAATAGAGACCGAAGAAGGACGTGAGACGGTGGAGAGACTCAGAGAGGATGAGTTTGTTCTGAACGGAGGGAGACTAAAACTTAAGGGAAATGTTCCCGCCACTCTCCAGGAACAAAACTAAAACTTAAGGGAAATGTTTCCACCACTCTCCAGGAACAAAAGACAATTCTGCCTGAATAGAGAGAATGATTTGCTGTGTCTAAAGCAGCAATGGTAGAGCACAAAGAAGGACGGCCTAGAAACCAAGAGGAAAACACAGAAGTTAAAAACGAATATAAAAAAGACGGAAACATTTCCTCAAGTGTTTCCTAAAGACCAGTGAAAAGCCAGGAGTGGCATTGCCCGTCTACACCCCAGCTCTCAGGGTCAGGTATTCAAAGCCAGCTCGGGCAACATAAAGCATTCCAGGCCAGCCTGGGTTACACAAGACCCTGTCTGTCTTGGGTAGGCTTTCTATTGCTGTGATAAAACACGGACCAAAACCAACTTGAAGAGAGAAATGTCTTTACTTTATCTTAAAATTCTTGAGGTCACATTCCATGACTGAGGGGAGCCACGGCAGCAGCCAGAACAGGGCAAAAACCTGGAGGCAGGAGCTGATGCAGAGGCTGTGGAGGGTGCTGCTTCCTGGTTTGCTCCCCATGGCTTGCTCAGCCTGCTTTATTATAGAACCCAGGATCACCTGCTCAGAATGGTACCACCCATGGTGAGCTGGGCCTTCCCACATCTATCACCAGGCAGGAAAACACACTAGAGGACTTTCCACTGGCTAATCTGATGGGGGAGGGTTCCTCAACTGAGGTTCTCTCTTCCCTCTGCTGTGTCAAATTAACACTACCATTTAAAAAAAAAAAGCAAAGACAAAACAACAATAACAACAAAAAGCCAGGTGAAAGAACTGTTTTTAATTACACAGCCTGCTAGTGGTCACATAAATGAGGAATCGCTAACAAATAGCTCAGTTTATAACTTGCTAATTTCTAAGCATGGGTTTCCAGGTTGAGAGCACCCATTCCATATCAGAACAGTGATGAAAATAAGTTCATTCCATCAGACACTTGCAAAATTTCAGAACACTAGGTTTCAAGATATATCGTGAATACTTCCAATGAGAGGAAAGAAAAACGTGTTCTTAAAAGCCTAAGAGTCACGGTGACCTGACAGCTCCCAGCGGCAGCATAGGAAGGGACGAAGGCACTGGGCAATGCTTCAAGTTTCTGAGGCAAAATTACTTCTAGCCTCGAGATGGACGAAGACAAGGTTGTTCTTAGTGTGAGAATAAAGGAAGACATTTCAGATGCAGGAGATGCTGAACACCGGTCCCAGTTTTGCTCTGTCTTGGGAAACTGAGAGTGTTCCATCTAAACTCGGGGAGTAAATAAACAAAGGGCAGGAGGGGCAAGACAAAGAGGTGAGGAAAAGTGAAGGAAATTTCCAGGACAGATGAAGTTGAGTCTGAGGACGACAGCAGCTGGATGAATGACCAAGCAGTCGAGGTAAGAATGGTCAGAAGAGTTTGGACGGTGTGGGGATGCAGTTGGTAAGTAGAATATGTATGTATTTGAGCAGGATATCTAGAGAATAGGAAAGTTTGATGTTGGCGTAGTAATAAATTAAAAACAAAACAGCTAAGTAGCGGAGGTGGTGGTGGCGGCAGCAGGAGGAGAAAGATTCTTGTTAACACCAAACATGCGGTGTTGCAGAATGTTTGTTTACACTGTGGAGACGTGTCTCTGCCAAGGCACCTTCTCATTTACTTAATAAAGAGCTGAATGGCCAGTAGCTAGGCAGGAAGAGTTAGGCGGGACTTCTGGAGACAGAAAGGACTCTGGGAAGAAGTGTAGAGTCACCAGCCAGATGAGGAGGAAGCAGAATGGGCAGTACAAAGACACCAAGGAGGCACTGAAGAGGTCGGATATATGGTACAGGGTAGAGGTGACTGAGCCACATAGAAGAACATAGATTAATAAAAGCAGGTTAAGTTATGACAGATAGTGAGACAACCCTATGCTAATGCCCAAGCTTTCATAATTAGTAATAAATCTCCATATTGTTATTTGTGAACTGGCAGCCCAAATAAAAGTTCAACTACATAGTGATGTATGAGCAGGCAGTCAGTCTACATGGCACTGATGCTCATAGTCAGCCCACATAGACTATGTTAATACATAGTCTACATGCTGCTAGTACACATAGTCAGTCTACATGGCACTAACACACACAGTAGGTCCACCAGACACTAATACACACAGTCAGTTCACATGGCACTAACGCACATAGTCAGTCTACACGGCACCAATACACTTACCATTTATAAAACCATTATAACATAAACTGTGAACACCAGTCCAGTTAAGGCAATAAGGCAATGACATTACTGTATGAGGAAGATGAAAGGGTACACATAGGTGGTGGGATGGGGTGTATGTGTGTACACTGAATCCTCATCACCTCAGTGGGGAAACATCAGCACATTAACAGCCGCTGAAAAAATGGCTTGGAGCTTGAGAGCACGCACTGCTTTTGCAGAGAGCCCAGGCTGCTTTCAGCACTCACAGGGCTGCTCACAAACAAACCTGTAACTCCCACTCCAGAAGATCTGATGCCACCTGGACTCTGCTGGCACCTGCATGCACGTGTGCACACGTGCACAAGTTAATAAAACGAGGGCTGGAGAAATGGCTGTCCTTCCAGAGAACCCAGGTTTGATTCCCAGCACTCACATGGTGGCCCACAACCATCTGTAACTCTCCCCCTCTCCCCCCAGAAATTTGGAGTTCCCTTTTGGCTTTCTTTGACACCAGACCAGCACGTGGTAAAAAGATAGGCATGCAGGTTAGAAAGACAGCCTTCCACCTAAAAGTAAACACATCTTTCAAAAGTGCCGTAAGCATTTTCTTCAAAGAAAGGAAGTAGCTAAGGACAACATCCTCTGACGGTGTTGACAGAAGGTGGCTCTGTGAAACGGGAAACGGTTTGGAGGAAGGACCGAGGCTTTCACAAAAAACCCTGTCAGAAGCTCTAGGTGAAACCGTGTGTTGGCACAATGCAAAGTTTGTTTGGCAAGGGCAGAAACAAAAGGCATTTTTAATGTTTCTGACAAAAATTCAGACAAGATCATAACCCGTGGGAGTTAGTAACCTGTCAGAGAGGAGGAGCATGGTGAACTCAAAAACCAAGGTAAGGCCAACCACAATTTTCAGGTTACAGAAAATATGAGCATAAATGAGAACAAGAAGCCAACTATTGCCAAATTTTGGCGTGGACGAGGCTAGTGAAAATGTCATTATTGAAACAGTGAATGTGGAGACATAGTAGGGTCTTGGGAGACAGCCCAGTTGCTGAAGTGCCGTCCATACAAGCTCAGGGACCTGAGTTCAAACCCCAGCAAACAGAAATAAGTTACATGCTGGATTAGCCCCTTGCAATCCCAACACCAGGAAGTGGAGACAGAAGGACCCCTGGAGATTCCGGCCAAGAGGCCATGTTCAATCAGTGAGCTCTGAGCCCCTCTCAGACAGTGGTATGCAGTTCTACCCTAATTGTTCATGGTCCCAGAGTCTCTGAGAAGGGCCAGAGGATATGGGCAGGCAAGGGAAGGGCTCCATCAGCACAGCCATGGGGCTCTGGAGTGGATAGGGTGTCATCCATGCCAGTGTACACCCTGCAGGGAGACCGCTAAAGGTCACCTGTCAGTCTGTAAACAAGACTAATATATTAATTGGCTTCCTAGAGTGAACTCTGATGGAATCGCACCTTGCTTTGTTGTTGGGATTGCAGGAAGTCTAGACATGGTTTATGTCACTCCAAGAGAAGGAATTTTAGCAACTCCTAAGCATTTTGCACATGGAAAATTCTCTGTGGGAAAGCCTGCTGTTTCTAGAAGGACAATGGAGTTTATACCCACTGGAGGACTCGGCCAGTGGGGGAGAACCTGGAGGCTGAATATGATTGCATATCAGTCCCGTCTTCGTGGACAGTTCCAGGAGGAATTCTGAGAAGCGGTCCAAATACTTTCCGTGAAGTCCCAGTGGGATCATGTGCCCAGTGACCGTCATGGGGACCCCAGTGTCCCTCTTTTGCTTTTCTTGTGTCTCCCGTATGCTCTCCACATTCTCCTTTCCTGAGGTCTGGAGTAAACCACTACAGCCACGTTTACTTCCAGATCTACTTTTAAGCAAGTCCACTGTGTCAGAAAAGCTGAGTGAGCAGGCCAGCTGCCACAAGCCAGGGAAGGCTGAGGGAGACACTGCTTTGCCACCTCCCCTCCGCCCTAGCCTACAATAACAAAGCAGCTCCAGGAAATGACCACTTCCTGTTAGATCCAGCTGCACAGAACAACAAAATCCCACATAAAGTGGCTTAAAGCAGTTATTTCCTTAAGTAAAAGAAACCTGGGGTGGCCTAAGAGGTAGCTCAGCAGTTAGGGCAGTTGCTGTGTTTCAGATCCTAGCACCCACATCAGGTGGTTCACTAGCACCCTCTTCTGGCCTCTGCAGGCACTGCGTATGCATGGCATACACACAGAAACACACATAAATAAACCTAAACACAAATTTTTAGTTAATTTTTTTGATTATTTAAAAAATGAGTATGGATATTTTGCCTGCATGTAAGTATGTGTATCATGTGTGTGCCTGGTGCCTAGGGTGCCAGAGAGGGCATTGGGTCTCTTGGAACTGGAGTTACAGATGGTTGTGAACCGCCGTGTAGTTTCTGGAAACTGAACTGGGTCCTCCGCAAGAGCAGTCAGTGTTTTTAACCACCGAGTCCTCTCCAGCCCAACAACAACAACAAAAATTAAAGACGTTTCCTGGGTTGAGTTAGAGCCACTGCGATGGCTCCAAGATCACTGTATGTTCCTAACAGTCCTAAACCGCCCCCGGACACAGCCACACTCAGGTCTTCCTGGTCCCGTGAAGGTGCAAAAGCGCTGGTTCCCAACTTTAGGGCAGGGATGAGGAAGGGAGAGAAGAGCGCTTCTGCTGTCTCCTTAGGAAGCGGGGCCTCATAGCCCCGCACCCCTGCTCACCTCCCTCTGGTCAGAGCTTACTTTTATAACCACAGCTAAGGGCGAGGAAAGAAAATTAGGAAGTGAAGTGTTCGACTCTGGGCAACTGCCAGAAAAACGACCTTGCCAAGGTAAGACAGACAATCCAGGAGAAATGGCCGCCTCGATCCAGTGTGACGTAGGACAGAAGGGTGGAAGATGTAAACTATGCCTTTCCATGAGGAAAGCTGAGAGCAGGTTGAAACCTGGGTGTGCACATATCCGTGTGGCACTTAGAGTCCTTAAGTGTGAATTCAGGGGTTTGATTTTATTTTTAAAGCTCAGTCCTATGATAGTTCTATAAAAAAAAAAAAAGTAGCACTATATTTTCTAAAAGTGATAGATTTAATAGGGAAGGGACAGGCTCAAATAAATAAAAGCCAGTATAGGGGCTGGAGAGATGGCTCAGAGGTTAAGAGCACTGACTGCTCTTCTAAAGGTCCTGAGTTCAGTTCCCAGCAATAATATGGTGGCTCCCAACCATCTATAATGAGATCTGGTGCCCTCTTCTGGCCTGCAGGCAATGTAAGCAGAACACTGTATACAAAATAAATAAATAAACCTTTTTTTTTTTAAAAAAAAAAAAGTCAAGATATTATGTTGAAATAGGAGCGGCAGGGCTGCATCCCCGGCACCCGGCCGCCCGCATGGCTAGTTTATACCCAGAAATAATTACACGGAAACTGTATTTTTTCAAACACTGTCTGGCCCGGCTAGGTCCAGTTTCTTATTGGCTAGCTCTTACATATTGTTCTAACCCATTTCTAATATTCTGTGTAGCCCATGAGCTGGCTTACCAGAGAGGATCTTAACCTGCGTCTGTCTGGAGTGGGAGCATCATGGCGACTCTTTTCTGACTCAGCTTCTTTTTCCCAGCATTCTCTCCTGTCTACTCCGCCTACCTAATTTTCTGTCCTATGAGGGCCGAGGCAGTTTCTTTATTAGTAAGAAATCACTCCCACATCAATATTAATTGTGTCATACAATATTGGACCAAAGATGTAACATCTCTCATAGGAGATAAAGACAGGATATAAGTAAAAAAATTGCATCTCAAGAACACACATTGTCTGGGCTCGTAACATACATAATAAGTAGGCACAATGTACGTCAGGCCATCAAGACATTAACATAAATTTAAACTAGACTGAATAGGAGAGAAACCATAAAATATTTATTTTGCTTAAGTTTGTTTTACTTAACATAATGGTATCCAGTTCAGTCCATTTTCCCACAAATGTCATAATTTCCTTTTTGTTTACAGCTGAATAAAACCACCCAACGATGCACCGCATTTTCTTTGCCTATTAAGATGCTGCTGGACTCTGTCTGATCTCATGGCTTAATTATTACAAAACTACAGCCGCAGCCGGGCCACACCTATGTCTTTCTGCTATTGCCGATAGCAGCGGCACATGACTGTCCAGGCAACAAGATGTCTCTGTCAATTTTAGAGTTTTGGAAGTTGCTTACAATGCACTTCCTGCTTACTTAGGTAATACTATATCCTTCTGGGGTCTTTGATGGAGTTGAAGAATAGATAGTTATAATTATAGTTTTTCTTAGTTCTTATAAAAGATAAAGTAGATATAAATATTGTAACTGTAATTCTTGCTTGATATCTGTTTTGTTATATGTAATTTTACAATGTTAAAGTTAAAACCTTCCTTTTTATTTAGACAGAAAAGGGGAAATGATGTTGGAAGTCCTGTATATGTGTTGCTTTTATTGGTTAATGTATAAAGCTGCTTTGGCCAATGACTTAACAGAATATAGTCAGGCTGGAAGAAATATAGAGAGAGTAGGCAGAGTCAGAGAGAAGCCATGTAGCTGCCATATGAGACAGATGCCTCCACCAGAGCCTGTGGAATCTTTGCCAGTAAGCCATGACCTCGTGATGATACACAGATTAATGGAGATGGGTTAGTTTAGGACTTAAGAGCTAGCTAGCAATATGCTTAAGCCATTGACAAAACAACATTGCAATTAATACAGTTTCTGTGTGGTTACTTTGGGTCTGAGCGGCGGGGAATGAATGAGCAGAAAACCAATGAGGGGCCAGGAACGAAGGAGCGGCCAGGAACAAACAAGCAGCCTCCGCCAACAATACACGAATAAATCAGTAAATAGGGCAGGCAAATGAGCAGGTGTCATGTGGATAATCAAGGGACGCAGAGACCAGAGGCAGAGAGCCCCACAGGTGCGGACGTCTGGTGATGGGGAAGCTCTGGGCACGGCTGAGGAAGGCCAACATGGATGCGGCAGGGAAGTGGAGAAGCTAAGTGTTTAGTGACAGTCAGTCAGAAGTCAGAGCACGTAGAACAGTGTAAGCCCTCTCAGATCTCTCTTTATGTCATGTAGAAAGGTTAATAGAAATATGACCCATGCATCCTGACATCTTAGAAAATGTCCCCTGTTGGGGAATACCTGGAGGAAGATTTACTGTATATCTGCGGCGTGACTATTGAGCTCCCATCAGGAGGTCATCCTGTCAAATGAGTCCCTGCCCTTGTGAATTGCCCAGTTTCAGACGCTTGCTAAGAGGTTTGCCTGCATGCCCTGCTGATCCAGCTGGATCCAGCTCTTTAGCTCCCAGGCCAAGTGATGCTTTAGTATGCTCTCCATCCATTCCATTCCAACCCCATGAGCAGGTTGATCAATCATTTGCCAGCTCGAGATATCCTGGTTACTTGACGTGATGTCTGCCGCCATTACAACCATCTCTCTGAGCTTGATTCTCGTGGTTGGGTGCAGCAATCTGGTTGCATCATTTCGGAATCACCCTAAGTCATTGGTCACCCCCCCCCCCCCGCCGCCCCAGCAGCAACACTCAGTCTTCCACTGCCACAGAGCCTTTCCGGACCCCTGGCACCATCTCCCTGAGAGTAGTTCATCATGTCTAGTGCACAGATGTCTTCTTACGTTTGCTCCCTTAAAGATCTAGTGGGGGTGCGGGGGATGCAAGATGCGGATCGTAAATGAGCTTCACATTCCTTCGTGTCTATGCCAAGAATGTTCTCTAGCGTCAGTTTTATGAAACGCTGAACCCAAAGTTCAATCAACAAACCAAGGAAAAACCAGAGCCTCTTTGGCTACGCTAGCATGCACACATAAAATCTAGGCTCATTCTTAAATGCATCCATATGAGTACATTTGGGTTAATCTAATTTTGACTTATTTCCTCCCTGGAGTAGCACTCCTCAAATTCATTGACAACATGTTCCTCTTTTTTTTTAATCTCTATATATACACTAGAAAAATATGGAATTCTTTCAAAATCTAAACCATATGCTCCTGGGCTAAACTTAGCCTTCATCCCCTTGAAGCATGTTGAGATCTGACTCTAGTTATGAGCCTGGAGTCATCTATGTGGGTCAGAGAGGGACTTGAAAAAGACAGGCGTCTTCCCCAAGACCTGACCTCCCCATCAATCAGGAGGCCTTGGATCCACAAGCAAGCCAAGTTTAGGAGAGTGGAGTTGGTACTGATTAAATGCAATTACGTGCATTTAACACACCATAGAGCCTTGATTACAATAAAAGACATGAGGAAATATAGTCATGTTTTTATAGCTATATGTAGAGTCAGCATGAAAGGGGCAGCTATAATTGTGTTCAGACAAGACTGGGCATGTTCAAGGTGCTGTGGCCGTATATTCAGATGTCATGTAGTCCTGGGGGTGCAAACTACAAGAGTGGTCGTGTCAAGAATAGAGTAAGTTGCCAAAGTGGTGAGAAACTTTTGATAATACTCAAACAAAGTGTTGATATTTTTCTTACAGAGCAGTGCAGTCTTGAAATTTTATTGCACACTAAACAGTCAAGCAAGGGAAATGCTTTTATCTGTATAAATATCTGCCCAGAAATAGAAAAGTTATGTAGGAAAAGAGGTGTACTTTTAGTACTTTATGGGTATGTACTGTATATTGCAAAAATAGCCCCCCAGCAAGATCCCAAAAGAACCACTAGGAGATGGTCATGCCATCATCATGAAGACTAACCAACCAGAGGGTCTACCCCAGAACATGGCACAAGGATTTTGAATTTCATCATTGTTCTTCTTGTTCTTCTTGGACGCGAAAGGAGGACGCAAGACACAACAAGACCCACGTGGAGCGCGAGGTTTATTGCAGCATGCGGGAGAGAAGGGGAAAAGAGGACAAACAGACGGCGTTCCAGCTTTTTAAAGGGTCCCCCAGGCAGTGCGTCAAATGCCATGTTCTGCGCCTGCGTAGCCTTTGCATGGACCGCTAGGGGCTCCTGGGAAATGTAGTTCCCCAAGCAAGCTACGCTCAGGGGCCTTCTGGGGAATAACAATCATGAGTGAAATTCGAAGCCAGATGGACTTATGTTGTTGCTGGTTTGTTTGTTTGTTTGCATAGCTTTTCAATACATAGCATAGGCTGGCATTGATTCTCCTGCCGTAACCTATTTAGTGCCAAGATGGCAGGTATGTGCCACTGGACCCAACTTACCCTGGTAGTTTCTGTATGGAGAAGAGACTGTGGAGAAGACAAGAATGGCGTGGGAAGCTGAGGTTAGAGGTTCCCAGTATTCCAGAGAGTTTGTACCATTGTAGTTACTTCACTGAGAGAACTCAAGGAATGGGAAATTTTGTTTTGCTTCTTGGTCTTTAGCATTCAGTACAAAGTTGCTTGAACAAATTATGGTGATGGTTCTTTACCTCATAGTGAGCAAAAAACAGAGACACAACCTTCAGGAAAGAGTCAGGGTGAAGTAGACAAGATGCACAGAGTTACTTTCCTCCAACCAAGCCTTGCACTACCTCCCAACAACGCCATCCTATTATGAATCCACTAAGGGATTAATCCACCCATTAGGTTGGAGTCCTCAGGATTGGCTTGCCTGGTGAAGTAGCATCACAGACACCCCAAAAGTGTACTTAAGTCATTTATTGATACTTCTGAATCAGATAGGTTTAGAGAAACCACGACCGAGGGGGCCGTGACTTGAGTGAAGGGTGTGTTTCTTGGGGAGCACAGGTAGCATTTGCTGAGAACTGATCTCCAATGAGGAGGAGATCAAGGGCCATGCCGTGGGTCTAGCAGCCGCAGTTCTGGGAGGTGATGCTGTTGACAAGCACGGGAAACAGGGGTGAGGTGTTCTTCAGGGGTGGGAGCCAATGGTCCTGCCATCAGCCTGGAAGTTGCCTGTTACGTGGTGGTGGTGGGGGAAGTGCTGAGGCAGTGGGCGGAGACACGCGGCTGGGGCGGGTGGGCGGAGACACAAGGTTGGGGCAGTGGGCAGAGACTCAAGGCTGAAATAGTGGGTGGAGACACAAGGCTGAAGCAGTGGGCGGAGACACGCGGCTGGGGCAGGTGGGCAGATCAGGGCTGGAATTAGGTCAGAGCATAGACAGCTGAAGTGGAATCTTCCATGAGCTTGACTGTAGGGGAGAGGAGAGAGTGGAAGGGTTCACCTAGAGGCAGGGAGAGGGAAAGGCATCGGAACAGGAGAGTGATGCCCTTTGTTCTGTATTTTCTGACCACAAAGTAACAACAGTGATAGCAACTAGTGTGGCGGTCTGTTTCTCGGTAGGGCCAGGAAGTGAGCTGCCGCCTCGTGCTTGCTCAGCGAGTGCTCCTCCATGGAGCTATGCTCCCAAGCTCCATGCTAGTAACATTTAATATTAGCAATTACTCTGTTTGCTTTGTTAATGACGAATAAACTCGAAGCAGAATGTCCAACTAGACATTCCGCTCCTCTGGACGTGTACAGAACCAGACAGAGACGACTGCTACATAATTCTGAGCAAGGATCGATGCATTCACTTTGAAATGGCTATTTTATGTCATGTGGTTACCACCTCAACAAGAAGTAAAAGAACAACTATAAACCCAAGGCAACCGGGGCTGGTAGGGTGGCTCAGTGGTTCAGAGCCCTGGCTGCTCTTGTAGAGGCTCCTGCTTCAGTTTCTTACACAGTTGTTCACAACCTCCTGTAATTCCAGCTCTAGGAAGTCTGACGAATTCTTTTGGACTTTAGAGTACCAGGCACACGTGTATCCACATATGTATATGCAGGCAAAGCACCATTCACGTTAAGGAAAAAAAACAAAATCACAAGGCCACTAAACAACTATGAATACTACCAATGGAATTAAATGGTGTACAGTTCTATGTATTTCACGCAATATAGTATATGGAAGTGCATTGTTTTTATAGAGAAGATAAAGGAGAAAATAGTCTGAATTAAAAAGACTATCATGCAGGTATCTCCTTTAGATATTCAGTTAATATTAAAACAGGAAGTAATTGCTGCATGTGGTGGCCCACACTCGCAATCCCAGGACTTAGAGGACGGGAGCAGAGAGCAGGAGGACCAGGTGCTCAGCAACTCAAAATCAGCTTACACTGTGAGTTTGAGACCTGCCTAGGCTACTTGAGACAGTCTCAGAGAGAGAGAGAGAGAGAGAGAGAGAGAGAGAGAGAGAGAGAGAGAGAGAGAGAGAGAGAGAGAGAGAGAGAGAGAGAGAGAGCAGTGTCTGAGAATGTGTGAGGGAGTTGAATTCCAAGCACAGATGGAGGGACTGAAATCATATCAGAGGAGGGAGCCCCTTTCATTTTAAAAGAAGGAAGAATGAGTTCCGGGCATAAAAGTGTGTTCACTTAGTTAAGTTCTATTTTTTTCTAGAAAGGAAAGAGAAAATGTGGTTTGAGGCTTTGCGCTAAATTCTGAGGAAAGTGGAGAATTCTTGCAATAGTTGTTAGTGTTTGTGGGTGGGGAGAGAGGTGGTGGAGGTGAGGATGTGGGGGACACGCACTGTGAACACTAGTGGGCAGTTTGAAATCTCGTGAAAGAATGGGGTCTCTTATGAAGCGGGGGAGACCGTCTTTCCTGTGAAAGTTCGACAAGTTTGGTGATTAGAAACTCAGGAAAGGATGTGTGGGTAGGTGCCAAGAAACAAATGGACAGGAATGGAGAAAAGTCAAGGACCAGAAAGCTCTGGGGTAAGAAGAGTGACCCACAAGGACTTGGAAGGAGTTGGCAAGATAGAAGTGGAGTAAGGACAGGTCAGCCATAAACCAAGTGGACATCACAGCCATGGAGAGTTGGTGGGAGAATGTAGCCAGGATGTCTAGAAACGGCAGCATGGAGAAGCATAGTGGCTGATACAATCAATGGCTCAAAGGTGAAAGGTGCAGAGATTTTCATAGGAGAGCAGAACAGCAAGCCTAGAGATGGCACCGGGAAAAGGTCACCAACACGAAAGATCCCATGGCTCAAATCTCTCTCTACAGATGAAAAAACCAAGGGAGAAACTGTATTAGTCAACATTCGAGATGTCTCAGATGTTCCCTACCTGCCGGTGCCCACCCTCTGCCCGCACGGGCTCAGGGTCCGTTTGTAGCAGGAAGGACTGCAGGGCTGATGCTGTATTATACATGACACTGGCTGTGGTGGCCGTTGCAGCCCTATCTAGCTGTCCTCTTGATTTCTTTGGTGAATACAGCTGGTGCAGCTTGAGCCACCTTAACATAGGTTAGGGAACTAAAGTTCTTTGTGATGGGCTTGTGAGTGAGTCTCCAGCCCGAGTCGTCCTTCAGATGACAGACCGCTAGCTCACATCTTCTTTTCCCTTGCTGAGACTCTCCGAGTGCACAGGCTTAGATGCCCGCTGAACCAGCCTACTGTAACTGGAAGATCGCACATGCTCACTGTAAGCTTCACACTTGGGGCAACTTGTTAGGCAGTGATGGGAAAATAACACAAAGAGTTTTGGTCACTTTATGCAAAAATACAAAGCCAGTGAGCTGCGGATTTGAGGTGGGAGCACAGGGCTCCTAACTCTCAAGCCAGTGTTCTGTTAAAGCACACTGTGCCCTGGTGTAGCGTGGACTTTGTGTCACTGAATGTCCTGGCTGGTTTAGCATGTCAACTTGACACAAGCCAGAGTCATTAGAGAAGAAGGAGCCTCAGTTGAGGAAATGTCTCCATGAGATCCAGCCAGCTGTAAGGCATTTTCTGATCAGTGGGGGATGGTCCAGCCCATGGTGGATGGGGCCATCCCTGGGCTGGTGGTTTTGGGTTCTAGAAGCAAGCAGCCTAATCAAGCCAGTAAGCAGCTCCCCTCCATGATCTCTGCCTCAGCTCCTGTCCCAGGATCCTGTCCTCCTTAATTTCCTGTGCTGACTGCCTTCAGTGATGAACAGCAGTGTGGAAACGTAAGCGAAGCAAACCCCT